AAATTTCTCAATGTAATTTTTATTATTTTATTAGGAAATTTTATATGGAATATGATATCAAAAAGTTTCGAAAATTTACATCCGAAAAAGTCATATCCCAAGTAAATTTTCGGATGTAAAATTACGTAGGGTATGATTTTTTTGGACGTAAATTTTCGATTGTAAAATTTCTCCCAACTTTTTTGCAAGTTCGATTGTGTCCCCTAACTTTTAAGGTCTGCGTCTGCCCTTGATTGGTGGAGAGACATTGGAGGATGAATGAGCTTCAATGTAAACAAATTCAACCCAAAATGATAACTCGACAAAATAAGGAACTCCAACAAAAAAAAAAAGGAATGAGCATATCTTGGATTTAAATCAATTCAGATCATGTCCAATGTTTTTGAAATCAGTCACAATACATCACATTATATCCTTGATTTCGTGCAATCTATTCTACAAATTTTATATAATTTTTCACTTTAGTTTTATGTATTAATAGAGGTTATGACCTTCTGTATTATGTATGTTCAAAGCTGAGTGTTCACATTAAAATAATAAGAAAGCAATTTTATTCTCTACAGTTTTTCTCCTGATTTTTCTTTTTGGTATTAGAGCCAGGTTGAACACACGGCACAAACTAAACAATAGCAATCCAGCAGCTCAGTGGCCTCCTGAAACCATGACCGCACTATCCCTCAATGTTCGGAATTTCATTAGTCTCAAATTCAGTCCCACAAACTATCCATTGTGGCGTGAATAGGTCTTGGTCTTTGCAGAAAGTCAAGAATTGCTCGGTCACCTTACCAATGAAGATCCTACCCCTACTAAACACACCATACCAGATTCCAATAATACTACAAATGCAGAAACCCCATCGAAGCATACATTGTATGGCGAAAGGTGGATCGCCTTCTTCGAAGGCGGATAATTGGAATACTCTTTGAAGAAATGCTTGGCCTAGATGTGGGAGTGGACACCGCAAATGCTGTTGGGAAGCACTAACGAATGCTTATGCAAAAGATTCGCAAGAACGTGAATTTACACTCAAATGTTAATGTGACAAAACAATTAGAGAGCAAATTCGAACCTTCAAAGGTTTATGTGACTGTCTTGCAGCAATTGGAAAACCAATTTGTTGGGATTGGTTTCACCCAAATGTAACTCAAACAGTAAAAAATACGTCCAAGACACACTGCAGAAATTAAAGATCACAAGAGATTATTCACCAAGTTCGGCCAAGCCTAATCTGGGGGGCTCAGAGGTAAATCAAGCTCGTCACTATGCAAGAACCTTCAAGAGGGAATGACACAAGTCTATACAACCAAGACACAGAAAAGAAGATCAATTCTAAATGATCATCGATCCACACAAGGATCTCACAAATCAGCTTAATCTATACACAATCAGGAACTTCACAACCTATCAACGAAGTGCAGATTTACCGGTTATATTTGGTGAACAAATATAACCTAAAACACTATATACAACCATAATAAACCCTCAATAATCAAGGCTCAGACCTGACCAACAATATATAAACCAACAAACTAATTACAAATCAAGAATTGAATGGAAATCCTCGAAGAAAACCCTCAGAATGCCTCAAAAGAGAACCATATTGAAAGAACGTATGAGAGAACAAAAAATGAATCAAAGTGACTGTACAGTAACCCTATGTAAAATATATACCCTCAACCTTAGATCTAATCCAACGGCCCAGGTAAGTCACAAACTAAAACAGATCCGAGTGGAGTGGTATGAGCCAATAAGATCATGCCAAGTTGACAGGCTGAATGAAAAATGCATTTTCACTTCCAAAAACGGGTTTTAAGAACCATAACCCACAATCTTCACCTTGGTTCTAAAACCTCTCATTCTCTCTAATTCCTACAATGCATATGACGGGTATTTTTATCCTACATCATCGCCTAGGTACCTGCAAAAGATTAACCAATATCAATATGCAGTAAAGATAAACAAATTCTAAACTTGTTTAAATGTAGAATTTTGGGTCCTATATCAGATGGATTTACATCGGTATGAATTTTTTCAAGTATAATCTCACCACATGCAATTTTCTCACGTATGAAATGGTACTTCACCTCAATATACTTGGATCTTTCATGATAAACAAGATTTCTGCAAAAAAGTAAAGCACTTTGACTATTAGTGAAAATTGTAGGTGTCTCATGTAAAAAATTNACTATCAGTGAAAATTGTAGGTGCTCCATGTAAAAAATTCAACTTTTCTAAAATTTTCTTTAACCAGATACATTTTTTTACAGATTCAGCTATTGTCACATATTTAGCCTCTGTACTGGATAATGTGACAATAGGTTGAAGTTGTGACTTCCAAGTGATATAATTATCACCAAGTGTAAAGAAGTATGCAGTAGTGGACTTTCTTTGGTCTTTATCCCCCGGAAAATCAGAGTCTACATACCCTTTCATTGTTAATGGATCAGATCCCCTCTTAAATACCAAACCTACTCTTAAGTGTTCCAACTATATATCTCAATTACCACTTTAACCCAGCTCAATGAGGTTTTCTAGGATTAGACATAAACCTACTTAGAAAACTAATAGAATATGCCAAATCAGGCCTAGTTATAACCATTGAAAACATGACAGATCCTATGGCATTAGCATATGGAATGTTCTTCATATCTTTAAATTCAGATTCAGTTTTAGGACATTGGGCGGAAGAGAGGTTCATGTGGGCAGCGGGGGGAACATTCACAAACTTAGCTTCTTTCATGCCAAATTTGGTTATAACTTTATTCAAGTATGTTTCTTGAGATATAGCCAATATATTTTCTTCCATTTTCCTGTTAATAACTATCCCCAGAATTTTCTTGGCATTCCCTAAGTCTTTCATATCAAATTCAGATTTTAGGAGATCCTTAAACCTTAATATCTCAATTTTGCTAGAGTTAGCTAGCAACATATCATCTACATATAGAAGTAGATACACCTCATTGCCTACTTTAGTATTGTTATAGTACAATTAATGATCATATTCACTTCTCCTAAAATCAATTTTCAGTACATATGTGTCAAACCTTATGTACCACTGTCTAGGACTTTGTTTAAGTCCATACAGAGATTTTGCAACTTGCACACGAAGTCAAATTTTTCTCTTTCCTCAAAACCTTGGGGTTGACTCATATAAATGTCCTCTTCAAGTT